TATAATTTTTTTTTTTTGTTTTTTTTTGCATGTTGTGTTTTATCCTACCTTTGCACTGTCCGTCTACCTCGTCATAACCCATGTAACACTGGCAATAGTAGCTTCCTTCGGTATTGATACAAAGGTTAGGGCATCCACCATTGTTGTCATCACATTCATCAATGTCTAAGTAGAAATGATCAATTATATCAATTCACGTTCGCTGAATTAGACTTTCAATTTTCTCATGTGTTATGACTCTAACTGTACAGGGGTGGCGTCAGGAATTGCTTGACGGAGAGTCCAAGTCCCTGGCGAGAGCAAATTAAGCGTGGGCAATAAGCTCCCAAGAACTATGAACGTTTAGTTAGGGGTTTTAAAGGCTTATTTGATCGATTTTAAACTAATAATTAGGAAATACATATATATTGTTTATTGCACTTAAAAAATGTGGATAATAAACTGACACTTGTTGGATATCACCTAATGAAGAACTAAATATGTTGATTTTGAAGACACAGACACAGATCTAGGCTCATTGAACTATAACATTTACACATGAGACTTGTATATTTTAATGTAAAAAATAGTATAGCCTACCATCACACCGTGTTCCTTCAAAGCCATGAAGAACTAAATGTTGATTTTGAAGACACAGACACAGATCTAGGCTCATTGAACTATAAATTTATACATGAGACTTTGCAATGTAAATTTTAATGTACAAAACAATGTAGCCTACCATCACACCGTGTTCCTTCAAAGCCTGAGAAACAGTCACATGTGTTCGGTGAATCACAGGTTCCACCAATGCCACAATCCCACACACAAATTGCTACATGAATTAGATAACGGTGTCATTAAATAAAATTTTAATTATAACATTTGACAGAGGTATGTTTTATTATAAACTTGAAAAAGATTTTATACCCAACCCATAGTTAAAATCAATCACTGTCCAAATTATTATTATTATTATTATTATTATTATTATTATTATTATTATTATTATTATTATTATTATTATTATTATTATTATTATTCTGAGAAGCTCTAAAATCACTAGTGGGCTAGTCAGTTAATAGGTTTTTGTTGTATTAGGGGTAACGGTTGTGGGGGGGGGGCGTTCGGGCCAATTATTTTTTATTATTTTCACTGATGAGAAGACTAGAAACACTCGGCTTATTGATTAACAGATCTTTTTAGCTCCGATGAAGAGCTCTAGGAAATACCTGTCTGATTTATTGATCTTTTTCGCTGATTGATTGATATCAGCGTGACCACTCACAATTTTGATATACCCAATGACTGGGTCGAAATTACCCAAGATTCAGCAAAAATTGCCCAAAATTACCCAAGCTTCCTGAAAATGCATTAAAATTTGAAAAAAAAAAAAAATGTTTTTCGCATGTATAGTTTTCCTTTTAAAACCATTTTTTATTGTAATTGTTTGTGTTAATTATTAAAATTAATATTCATGAGATGATAATACAGATAGAAAAATACGCCCTCAGTCGGCCAGTGTTATCAGTAGATCAGTAATCAAGTTTTATGTAATGCATTAATTAGGTAAGATCAATGGCAACGCAAATCACAAATAAACAATTCTGAACCTATGTTTATAGCAATTAACAGTCAATTAACAATGGTATGTGCACTTCGTTGAGTTTTGCTTACTTGAATCGTGAAGGAAATATATTATATACTCTTAATATATTTCCTCTATGCTTGAATGGACTGTCATAAACCTTGTTACTTCTTAATTCTTCCTCTATGACAAAAATATTTAATTTTCTTAGTAAAAATAAAATACCCAAGGATTTGAACGGAATACCCAAGAACCAAAGACCAAGTCAAAATACCCAAGATCTGTGGATACGCGAAAACGATGAAAATTAGCTGTTTTTTAGGAGTTTTTTGGCTCTGGAAATTCTCATATTTATTCAATAAAGTTATCCTACCAAAATTTTATAAATTTATTACCTACAAGATAATGCTAATCGTAAGTACGGTATGTGTTCTGAACAATCGGTAGAGACTAAAATACACGAATGGTTTTCAGCGTGAATCCTGCTTTTGCCGTATTTTGGAGCATATTTGTTCGCTTCCAATGGTTCTAGCGCCGCCTAGAACCATTAATTTATATAAATTATGAGACGATTCCTAATTTGATTGGCTTTCGAAATATCTAAAAATGAGTTTTGACCGACACGCCCTGTTTTGTTGAAGGGTTCAATCACGATTGGACCCTACACATGACTAGAACCATTTTGTTTTGCGAGTGTTTTGTCCGAAGCATTTACCATAAAGTGATTTCGTTTCTGTCTTGCCAGTTTTTACATATAGGCCTATATCATTTATATTCATAGTAAGTGTACATATTATTTTGTGATACTATGTAAAATAATATTTTATAAAATGTGTACTAAATAACGGAATTATTTATTTTAAAACAGTGATTTCTGATGCCGAGGCACCAAAATCAGTATTTGTATTATCCATTCCTAGCATGGGGATTGTTGATCCTTTCTGATATTATATATGCATTGAAATTCAATATTAATTAGGTCTAAGCATGTTTGTTAAAAATACGAGTTTGCCCCATTCCCTGCAAAATTTCACTAAAAAAAGGATTTTTTAAAGAAAAAATGCATGTTATGCATTACTCAAATGATTATAAAGTGAATAATGTATCAGCTTTATGTTCAATGGATACAAAATGCATCTGCCAAGTCGAAAAATGTCTTACTGGATTTACGTACTGCGTGTGCCAATACCTCGTTCATGAGGTGTGTTCTATCATGGAGGACTCCATGGTTCTATGCATCCGTTGATGTCCTTCATGAAGGCCTTTTGAGTTGTGACGCCGATCAGTTTATTAGGTGACATATAACAGTACTATTACTTTTACTATCATTATGAAGTGATTCGAGCGTATTTTATTTCGTTATTAAGTTTCTTATCGCCCATTGATCCACTGTAATTTGCTTATCAGCCACTTAAACGTGCAGAGAATGCCGTTCTAGCTTTTGTTAACTTGGTTCCACCATAGAGAAAATTCTATTTTCTCTATGGTTCAACAACATACTGAAAAAACTTAATTGATATGTTTGTGCTACTTTTGCCGATTTTTCATTGGCTTTTAACACGACACAGCCTTATATTTTAATTGAGAAACTCCATAATCTCGAGGTTATTCCATAAATAGTTTCTTGGATAAGTAACTTTTTATATTTAAGTAAGAGAACAACGTGTAAAGGTGTCTAACTGAATTTTTAATGTTATTACTACTAATGTTGGTTCCCCTCAAGGTTGTTGCTCATCCCCATTATTAGGCCTATGTGTTATAAACCAATGACTGCGTATCTCCTCGTAGCCTAAATAGGTAGACCTATCTATTTAAATACGCTGATGATACCGTAATTGTAGGTCTTGTTCATGGTGATAATGAGAATCCCTATCGGGAAACCATTGAAGGTTTTTAATTTGTGTGATACTAATCAATTAACTGTAAATGGCAAGAAAACTAAAGAAGCAATTTTTGATTTCAGGAAATCTGTAAACAGGGTACCTGTTCCAGTCAAAATACACGATGATGTAATTGAAATTGTTACTAGTTATAAGTATCTTGGCATGACGATTGATGACAACTTTAAATGGGGAGAGCATTGTAAAGGACTATTTCCAAAAGATCTCACTCGACTTTATTTCTTAAGAAAACTTAATCATTTTCATGTTATGACAATATATAATTATGCCTTACCCATTTGTAACCCCTCCACCTTATCACCCTAACCAGTAAATGTTCATCTACTAATTTGGTGGAATCACTCTTTGGTGGAATACAGTAGTACTGTACAGGCAAATAGTTTAGTTTTTTTGGTTTAGATTGTTCAAACCTGGAGTCCATTGAATTTCATGACCGTCATTATATTCACAAATTATCATCTTTATTCACTGCATCTCGTTGACCTCTCAACATTTGGCCTCAACAATTAGATAACAAAATATCTTTAATATTGCTTCATATAAAAAGTTTTAAGTTTAACAAACGCAATTGTACAAAATTTGGTTTAAACTACTAGACAAAATAGAATACACAAATAAGGCCATTTAAACATGGCCTAGTCTTTAAGTTTAGCACAGCACGTATATTGCAGTCTAATTAATTAAATGCAACATAAGATATGCGTAACATTTAAGCCTTACAACTTTCAATTAGCATACAGCACTAATTTATGCAAGATATGATTATCAAGAACAATCGTTCATTACCTTAATTGGTAACATTTTGGCCTAACTAATTAATATTCATTCAATTCTTTGTATATCTACTCTTAGGTAAGAATGGCGAGTTTATTCGTTTTTGCTTTTCTGTTTGTACTGATGATGGGTTTAGTTGGAGAGAACAGCCGAAACACGTTTACAATTAATTGTCCTTAATTGTTCTTTTTCTGAAATGTGTTTGTGTTTTTCATCAATTTGCGTCCGTTTGGTTCCATCAATTAAGAAGGACTTTAGTTCGGAAGACCTGCCTATTTGTTTGTTAGGAAGTCGAGAAGATATCCCTACGTTTCATTAAAGCTCAATTGGATTATCATTTCTTACGCAATTGTCAAACGTTGTTGTGGATATTCTACGAGATACGCTCACTCGCTTAATGTTATCCCCTCAATTCCAAATTGCTCTGTAATGAATGGCTCTTTAAAAATCTCTGGAACAAAAGTTTGGAACAAAATCCCAATCAGAATTCAAGAATGTCTTAATTTATTCAAAATTACTTATAAGAAACACTTTTTCTGATTATCACAATTCATTTCCTTTTATATTTTGTTGGTCTATACTTTTAACATTTAATTCCGGCCCCGAAACTTGGACTCAGAAGTACCGGGATGGTGTCCGGCGGGGGATAGTTTTTACCATTGTTTAGTTAGGTCTCTAGTTACGATAAAAGTTGACAGCCCGAAACTTTGACTCAGAAATACCGGGATGGTGTCCGGCGAGGGAAAGTTTCTACCATTTTTATCTATTTAAGTAATTGTACAGTATTTAATTGTCCTACCTGGTAATCCCGGCCCCGAAACCTTGACTCAGAAATACCGGGTTGGTGTCCGGTGGGGGATAGTTTTTACCATATTGTAGCTAAGTTGTAGTTAAGCATAACCTTGAGCCGTAATTCCTGGCCCCGAAACCTTGACTCAGAAGTACCGGGTTGGTGTCCGGTGAGGGATAGATTTCCATCAAATTTTAACTGTTGTTTTTTTTTGTTGTTGTTGTACTGTGCTAGTTACTAGTTTTTTGTTGTTGTTATTGTACTATGTTTTTGCAGGACCATATTGTAAAACAGCGGTAAGATCTCGCCTGTATATGTTATCCTGCCTAAAGATGTTTTAAATAAATAAAAATAAAAAACGTTCGGCGTTCCCCCCCCCCCAAAAAAAGGGGGAAAAATATATGTAGTTACTCACAGCAGCCTCCGAATCCATCTTCAGCCCATCCATCACAACAATAGTAGTTCGTTGAATAAGTTGCGTAATACTCAAGTTGGTAGGCTAGGTTATATCTACGGCTAAACAAAAACATGGAAATATAATTGTAGTACATCTACTACCCGTATTTCCAATTAACTGTATTACGTGATATTATGATTGTATTACATAGTAGTACTATTATGGGGTGCGATCCGCAGCAGAAGTCCAAAATGTAATTGCAAAATTCAATGTCTAATTTTAAAACGTAGGCGTAAATTTCTCATAAATGTAGATTTAGTTTCCCAAAATGAAGTTTTAATTTTTCAAAACGTAGTTCAAATTTTCCAAAATGTAGTTCTAATTTCTTTAAAATGTAATTCAAATTCAAAACGTAGGTCTGACTTGATCAAACGCCCTCTCCAAATTCTGTTCAAAAACGTAAATTAAAACCAGCCAAGCATTGGCTGGTTTGAAGACATGCAAAATGTAAATCAAAACTAGTCAGCCAAGCGTGATGTGGGCCTGTTCCATTAATGATGGGGAATCATTTTTC